TTTTTCTCCTCTTTTAACTATTTCCACTTTTTCCCCTTCTCTTTCTTTTTTCCTCTTTTTTTCCACTTTTCTCGTTCTTCAAAAAGAAGAATAAAAGATGAAAAGTGTTCTTCTGAACACTTTTCATTGAATTGTTCGCCTTTTTCCAACAAGAATTGTCCAAGTTTTGCGTATCAGTAGTGGAAGTCAGCTTTAGTCAGACACCAAGTTTCATCACGCTGGCATTTCGCCTATCAGTAGTAATAGACAGTTTTAGTCAGACTGAACATTTCCCGAACCTGGTAATTCTCCTATCAGTATAAGATAATTTTAAACTTTTTTTTTTTTGTATTTTTTATAATTAAATTAGAATACAGAGGAATTTTCAGAATTCTAAAGAATTTTTTAATCAAAAATTGAAATTAAAAAAAAAAATTGTTGTTGTGTTAATGACTGTTTACGGATAAATGGAATGCAACCACATTTAAGTGAAATAGTTTCATGTTCTCTAATTATACAGTATTATTTAAGCAGATATAATTATATGTAAATGTTTTGTTCAACAAATCCTAGTTAAGTGGGATCCTTCATTATTGGACTAATGGGCTAGTACACACTAAGTACACAACAGTGTGGCAATGTACTGGCAATATCGTAGAAATAACAGGTACGTATATGACGCTCCCAGAAGCTTAAAGATAATGTAATATTACAACATTATTTTAATTAATCTCGAGAAACCCATACAACGATTATATTTTATAGCGTCGCATATGTAAATCACTTTCTATTGTTCATTATTCTATCAATATACACTCTCGACAATTGTTATCTTTTTTGTAAATAAAAAATTATCTTAAAATATTTAGTAAATATTTACTAAGTAAAAAATTATTTATTTAATACCAAAATATTTAGTTAATATTTACTAAATAATTTTTTAATAATTTTTTAGTAATTTTTTAGTACAAATTTAGTAAAAAAAATTATCCCAAAATTTGTAGTAAATACTTGGCAAATATTTAGTAAGTAAATTATTTAATTTAGTAGTAATAAATATTTAGTAATACTGATATAATTTTTTTATTCATATTTCGAAAATACTTTTAGAAAGTATTTTTCAATAAATTCATCGAAATATATTTATTTATTTATTTCTTCTTTTTCCATTTTCTTTAACTCGACGTCTCCGTATATTTTTTAATTAAAATAAAAACTGATTGAAAGAAAAAGTATTATTTGAATTTCTTCACACGTAAGGTTTCCACGATAACAAGAGAAAAAGCAAGTAGAATATTTTTTTCTCCTTATTTTTATTTTGTTTTTTTTTCTTCCTTTTTTTCGCCTATGTTTTTCTCCTTCGAGAGTTGCTGCTTTTTCCATTAAAAAGTGAATTTATAATACCAGAGGGTTTTTTTTTTTGCGAAAAACTTAGGGTAAACTTGAAATAGGTGTGTATATATTATTAAAAAAAATAGCTCGCAAAATATTTTTTTTTCCTTCTTATTTTTAAATCGAATATTGAATTCTACTTTGGTAAATATTTCCCACAAATTTTTTTAAATTGCTCCTATTGAGTATTAATAAAAAAAATTATTACACAAGTTATTCGTGTCCTTCGATCACTATTTGGTTTTGAAAATTTTTTCTTTCTTTTTCATGAAAATGATATGGCTAAAAGATGATTTCTCTCCTCTTAAAAAATTGAAATGATATATTCCTTGAAAGATTCTTATAAGAATGTGCGACATTTTATCGACAAATTTATGGAAACAAGTTATACGATTCTATAAAAAAAGGTTTTATACAGCTGTGACATTCTCGTTGATCATAAAGTTAAAGAAAATTTCTTCATATGTAGCCTATCGAGAGAAAAAAAAAAGAAGAGGGAAAAAAATTGATGATAAAAAAAATGATGATATTTTCTATAATTTATGAACATTTCCTTTTTTTTTAAGCTTCAATGAGAAATGTTTCCTGTAATATTCACCAGGAATATTTCAACAATATTTCACTACCATTTTTTTATGGAAATTATTCTCTGTAACTGTATTTTACTAAACATACGAGAATATTGATGTAAACTTTATTACAGAATTATTTTGAATCAAATAATTATTATTAGACATTATTTATTTAAAATATTTGAATTATTATAGTAAAAAATAAAATCGTTTAATTTTTTAATATTTTTTTAATCGAAAAATAGTTTGAAAAATAAATAAGAAAATAAAATCATAATTATAAATTATAAAAATGCAATAAAACTGAATGTTTAAAACAAAATGGTTTATAATTTCTATTTTACAGAAAAAAAATTCTGAACATAATTCAATATTTATTGGTATTCGATAAAAAAAATTTGCGATGCAAAAAATACGTGTTAGAATACCTCAAATACCTGAAAAATTATTTGAAAACATATTTAAAAATAAATTTAATAACAATAAAATTGTAGTTTAATTAAAATTCAAATGTAAATTAATATTAAATAATATATTTCCCGAGATAATATTTTTCTTGCTCTTTTTTTCCCCATTTTTTTTTTTTTTCTTTTGCTAAAACAAATACCAATGAAAATATTACATACTATAAAATTAAGTAAATTGACTCTGTACTTGCCGTTTTTACGTGAATAATTTTGCCCGAGCTAGATATTTAAATTTATTTTTAGTGTAAACTGCAAATTATATTTCACGGCTTTTGCGTTGAAAATGTTTTGGAAATGAAATACAGAGAGTCAAAAGCGTACAATGTTCATTTCAGTAAATACAACTTTAATCATAAATACCACGGTCAATGGACAAATTTAAAACTGTCTACAATATATGAAATATTTTTTGACAATTAGAATTCCATTAGTGATTAAAAAATTGAAGTGAACATTTTTTTTTGTCAAAATAAAATATTCATGTTTGTCAGAAATAATTTTGGTAGATAATTAAATGTTAATAATATTAATAATTTATGTATAGGTGTGTATAAAATATAAACAGTTTTCAAATAAAAATTAAAATATTTCTCCTGCAATATAATATTAAAAATTTTTAATTAAAAATTTTCCAAATTTCATCATTCGAGATAAATTGAGTGATTATTAATGTACATTTTAGGTAAATTTTACCAATTTTTAAATTAAATTTTTGTTTTTTAATTATTTATTTTTTAATTATTATTTTTATTTAGTTTTTTCAGTTTATTAAGGGTATTTGAACTATTATGACGTCATAATTTTAGAATACATGCTTTGCACAAATTGTGATGTCATAATGGTTCAAATGCCCTTAATTTATTTTTTTGTTTATATTTACAGTTATTTTTAAAAAAATTTTTTTTAGTTCATATTTTTACTTGGTTTTTTAGTTTGTATTTTTATTCAGTTCTTCTAAGTTTGTATTACGTATTATTTAGTTTATTTAGTTTATATTTTTAATTATTTTTTAATACATTTTTTTAGTTCATATTCTTACTTGGTTTTTTATTTAGTATTTTAAGTTTATATTTAGCTTTTTTTCATTAATTTATTTTTTTTTAGTTTATATTGGCACTTGGCTTTTATAGTTTTATTTACTTTTTTTAGTAATTACTAATTACGTTTCTATTTAATTTCTTTAGTTTTTTTTTACTTTTACTTTTTTTAATTGAAATTTCCATTTAGTTTCCTTAGTTAGTATTTATATTTTGTATTTGTTAGTTTATATTTCTATTTGGTTTTTTTTCGGTTTTTTAATTTTATGTTTTTATTTATTTTTTCAGTTTATTTTTTAAAACATTTTTCTATTTAACTTTTATAGTTTTTTTAGTTCATATTTTTACTTGGTGTTTTAGTTTGTTATTTTTTTATTGTTATTTACTATATTTTAGTTCATATTTTTATTTAGTATTTTTTAAGTTTATAATTTTGTTTAATTTATTTAGTTCCAATTTGTGTTTATAATAATTTTTTTTGTTTACATTTCTACTTGGTTTATTTTATTTTGTATTTTTATTTCATATTTTTTAATTTATATCAAAAAAAAATTTTTTTTCATTTAGTTTTTTTGTTTATTTTTATTCAGTTTTTTTTACTTTTATTTTCAGTTTTTTGTAGTTTATATTTTTATTTAAGTTTCTGTATTTACATCTTGTAAAAATACCAAAAAATAACTAATTATTTGCAAAATTACACCAAAAAAACTAATTATTCTATAATTTTATTTTTATCATATGCTGGGAATTTTTTTTTTTTAATGAAATACTTCTGTTCGGAAAAATGAAATTAATTTTGCATATGCTAAAAACTAAATTTTTTCAAAAGACACTTATTTGACTTCTAATTAAACGTTTAATTAAAAATTCGAAATGCAGAGAGCTCTCACTATATGAAGTATCATGTAATGAAATTTTTTTTCTATATGTATTACAATAATAATGAGAACTCCTTTTTTATAATTGTCGGTATAAACAAAAGTTTAGCTTTCATAGCACAATTAAATATTTCAGTCTTAAATCTTAATAAAACAAATTTTTAATTTTCATTTATTTTAATTTTTAATTTTTCTTTATTTTCCTATTTTTTATTTTTTTTATTTATTTTCTTCTTTATTATTCTATTATCATTTTTATTTTTTTTTCTCTATTTCCTGTATTTTAATTTATTTTTCAGCTTCTTTTCAATTCTCATTTAGTTTTTCTATATTTATTTTATTATAATTTTTAATTTACTTGTCTTCCCATCTATTTATTAAGTCAGTTTTTAATTGAATTACGAAGATTGAAAGTAAATTCCTAAAAAATTCTTTTTACAAGAATTACAAACATTTTTCTTAAAAATATTTTTCTCTTGTAATGCTTTCAAGAAACTTCTTTTGATTAAATTTTTCAATTCTCCACTTGTTTGGAAATATTTTCTTATCAAAGTTTTTTAGATTCAGTTTATTATTATTTTTTTTTTTTATAAAAAGGAAAAAATTTACGTAAATGATGGTAATTTTAAAGTAATTGTTAAATTCTAAACTTGGTAATAATTGTTGGAAAAGAAATTTAAAGTTTTTTTTACAAAATATATTTTTGTGACAATTTTTTGTAAAGAGCGAATTACAATAAACATTTTTTTGTGTGTTGAAAATATTTTCCAAGGAGATGTTTAATAATAGCGCGGGGAATTCATATTCAAAAAGGGAATTTTGAAATTTTTCTTTCTTAAAACCGTTGAGTAGAGACAAGCTTTACATAGTGGGATGAAAATTTTTTATGAAACCACTTTATATCGGGGCGGGGAGTGGTTTGAGAGAGAGGTGGTGGTTTTAAACTTACTTCTTATTCAGCGTGAGACACTCTTGTTTTTCAAGTTATTATTATGTCTCGTAAACATTATGGCACCCATGACATCTTTTGTTGAAAATTTACTTACTATCTGATTAAACCAAGTTGGTTAAAAAGGGATCCAAAAGCGCCAACAAGGGAAAACACTGTAATCGCATACGTTAAGATTACACAAGTTAATTTCATTTCATCCGTTGCTTTTATCGTCATCCATTTTTTTTCATAGCCATATAATAATGACGTCATTCCAATGACAAAACATCCAATACCAAATAAATTGTGAAATAATTTAAATAACACTGGCCTTATTATTCGTCTCAATTCCACGGAGTAAAATGCAAAAATTCCCATTAAAGCGACAAAAATTATCAGACCAACAGAAATGATCCCGGTAATAGCATGAGTTGAGTGGAAATGACTTTCTTTTTTATCATATTTTACACCAACTCCAACGATAATGAAAACTGCAGCTCCAACTTGTAAAATCCAGTGAATGTGCTTGCTTACTTGACGTGATAGAAAGTTTGTCCAAAGATTTTCCTCGGCAAGAACGACTATGGCTTCGGACATCAAAAGAACGTACTGAAAAATAGTGTCAGAACGTCAAATACGAAAAAAAAGGAAAAAAAATAAAAAAAAAATACTAGCAGCAACAGCAGGAGGGAAATTAATTTTAATCTTACTATGATAAAAAAGGGAAAAGAAAATTTATTAATTTTTCTAATTTATCAATAAAGGTGCGCGGTGTTAATTGTTATAAGAGAAAAATTAATTAAAAATCAAGAATCAGAGAAGAAAAAAATGTAATTTATAATTTATTTGCAAATTTATACCGCACGTTGTACGCTTGAGATACTTTCTTAAATTTACTTTTTGTTCCTCCAATTTTCTTCTCGCAGAGGGTGAAAATCATTCTCTTGATATGATCTTTATTGGCAAGTTGATTCACACTGTCGGACGTGTATCATTTTAGTTTCCAAGAAAAAGCAAAAAAATAAAATAAAATATTGAACTTTGTCAAATATTTATTCAATGTTCAGTTTTTTTTTTACTTTTGATGGGAAAATTACCCGTCTGATGAATTTGATAATATAATTAGCAAATATTTAAGATTTTAACGTGGGAAATTTTTAAAGAATTCTTATTTGTAATAATTATGTTCAATATTAATTATTTTTGATTGATATAATTTTTCAGACCTGTTTATTAAATAAATAAATAACTAAATAATTAAAATAATTTATAACTAGCTGACTTCTCACTCACTTTTTTAAATCAAATTAACAATTTTAAAAATAATAAAACGTAAAAATTTTTAATTAAAATTTTTTTTTTTATAAAAATAAAATACGAATCGGAAGATAAAGTTTAAATATTATTATAATTACAATAATCATATATTCTGACATAGGGAATTCAGGGAAAAGTCAAGAATTTTTATCAAAAGTACTAAAAAATTCACAAAATCCAATTATGTTCAAAATTTACAAAAATATCTCGACAAAATACCAATTATTATGATTATAAATTAAAAACTACTTCTTTAAAATTCAATTATTTTCAAAAATTTTAATAAAATTCGTGTCAAAATTTCAATTAATTTCAAATTTTCAATTTTACCCATTGTGAAAATAATTTAATTACATCAAAAAAATTTAATTTAGTTATGAAAATAATTGAATTTTTGCAAAAAATTTCCTTTAAAACTTGAAAATAATTGAATTTTTTAAATTGTAAATAATTGAATCTTTTCAAAGAATTTAAAAATTAATTTTATTAATATTTTGCGAAAAAATTGAATTATTCACTAATTTAGTGATAGTATTTAAAATGGTATTAAAAATAATTGAATGTTTCTGATGAATTTTATCCAAATTTTGTTTAGGTAAAGAATTGAATTTTTTTGAGAAATTTAATGAAGATAGTAAATGTTGCAAATAATTGAATTTCGGAAAATTTTTGAAAATAATTTAATTAACTAAAAAATTTTCCTTATTTCAATATCTACTATTTTAATAAAATCAGCCAAAAGAATTCAATTATAAAAACAATTTTAATAAAATTGTACTCAAACATTCAGTTAGGTATTTTTATAAATATAAAAAATTTTACTGAAATTCCATTATTTTCGTAAATAATAAAATTCTTAATTTTAAGAAACATTCAATTGTTCAATAAATTATTTATTTTTGTATTTAAATAATGGAATTCTCGTAGAATTTTCTACTAAAACTTGATTTTAAAATAAATTTTTATTTAAATTTTTAAATAATAATTGAATATTAAAAGTATTAGAGCGTTGAAGAATTTCAATCATTTTTAATACAATTTTAATCGAATTCCTTGAAAAATGTAACTATTTTAAAAAATTTCATTAAAATTCGTCCAAAAAATTAAATTATTTAAAAATTTGTTAATAAATTTTTTTATAAGAATTAAATTTTAAAAAACATTAAATTATTCAATAAATAATAAATTTACTTTTGTATTTAAATAATTGAATTGTCGTAGAATTTTCTAATAAAAGTTGATTTAAAAATGAATTTTAGTTTAAATTTTAGAAAATAATAGAATATAAAAATAATTTTTAAGAAGTTACAGTAACAATATTCTTATAATACAAAAAAATGACTCGGAGTAATCGTTTTCTTTATGTTTTATAACAATATTTTTTTAAAGTTGATTAATTACAAAAAGGTTTGAATTTGAATGTTTTGAAAAATTTTAATTCCTGCGTAAAAATAATAATAATTAAATATTTAAAATATTTAAAAAAGAAATTATTGTTTTCGAATAGTTTTACAATTAAAGATATTCGTAAATAAATTTGACAGAACATTTTTTTCAATAAAATTCTTTCTTTCTTTTCTAAAAATTTAAAAATTTTTAATTTCATTTTCAATTGCATTTTCTAATTGACAAATATAATTTATAAACATATTTTTTCCTTTATTTTTAAAAAACTTTGAATTTAAAAAGTTGACAATTATTTTTAAAAAAATTCAATAAGTTCTGATATGGAAGCAAATTTTCATCAAAAATTAATTAAATTTATGTTACGAATTATTATTAATTAATTAATTATAATTAGATAATAAACAATTTATTTTCCAATCATTTTTGAGCATCAAATTATAATTTACATATTCAAAAGAAAAAAAAAGAAACGAAATCAATTCTTTGACACATAAAATTGAATTTTACGACATTAAACTTCACAGTTGTATACAGTAAAAACAAATTATGAAAAAAGAAATTTAATAAAAACGTTTTACAAATGACTTTCAATTAAAATTTCCTCTCAAAGAAAAACATTAAGTAATAAGTAATTAAAGATTTAAACGCCTTTCGCAGAACCAGTTAAATTATTCTCTCAACAAGTTTAATCGAATTAGGAAAACAAGGAAAATGAAATAACTTTCCTTTTGAGTTTTCCATTCTTCTTCTTCTTCTTCATCTTTTTTTATTGTGCACACTGCTTGAAAATATGTTTAATATTCATTGCACGCATTGAAATTTCAAAAAATTCTTTTTTAAAAGAGTGCGAGAACTCTCTCAAAAAAAAAAATAGAAGAAAAAAAAGAACAAGTTTTTCTTTATATTGATAAGCTGTCACCGGATTGAGTAAATATTTTCGCTACTTTATCCTTTCATGCTTGAAATCTAGTCCGAGCATCTGTTGCGAAAAATGACACATAAAATTGGTCCTTACATATTTCTTCAAGACTTGTCAAATTTTCCCCGACTTCACTGCCATCAGAAATGAAAAGAGAAAATAGTCAAGTGTAGATTGTATATAAGAAAATATTCACTAAAGTAATATTAATAAAAAGAAAAAAAACAAATTTTCTCGCAAATATTTCAGAGAAAAATAAAAAAATATAAATGTTTAATAAATCACTTTTTTGAATCGTATAAAAATATATACTGTGAAAAAAGAATTTATTTGATTCAAATAAACGATTATTGCTTGTCTATTATATTTTTATTTGCATTGAAAAAAATTTGATTCAAATAGACTATTATAATCGTCTATTTGAATCAAATCTATTTGAATATATTTGTCAAATAAATATTCACTTGAATCAAATAATTTTTATTTCAATCAATTAAATGGTATTTTCTTATTTTATTCCACGAATCGAATGACATTTTTTGCCAAATACTGAAATTATTGATTCAAATACAATTTATTTGATTTAAATAAAAATTATTTGATTGAAGTAAAAATTTAAAAGTAAATATTTTGACAATTTTTGAATTTTTATTTTTCTTAAAAACTTATTATGACAGGCTTTGCACTTGATAATTAATATTAAAAAAGTAGCAAAAAGTAGCTCTAAGACTCAAAAAAAGTAGTAAAAAAGTAGCTATAAAAAAATTTTACGACTAATAAAACTCGTCAGACGATCAACAAAAATCACAAAAATTGATTTCTAACTTTTTCCTAATTTTCATAAAAAATATTTATGTATTTTTTTTTCTTATCCTGCTAATAACTTCAATTCTAAATTTTTGCAAAATTCAATTATTTTCGAAATTTTAATATAAAATTCCTTAAAAATACAACTATATTTCAAAACAATTCTTAAATATGTAAATAAATAATATTCTCTTAATTATAAAATTTATTTCAATTAAATTTGACAACATTTCCAAATAATTAGAAAATATTCGTTATTTAAATTATTTTACCTATTTTGAAAAAAATTTAATTACAGTTTTTCAAAAGACTAATTTTTTCATAATTTCTAAATTAAATGACATTCAAAACTTGAATAATAATTTTTATTAAATAACGATTTAAATACTTATTTATTTTTTCACAGGAATTAAAAAATATATTTTTTGAAATTTAATTAGTTCTAAAAATTACAACTTTAATTCTATTTAAAATCAAGAATTTCTTTGTTAACATTATTAAATGAAATTTTTCAAAACTAATCTTTTTTTGAAAAAATAATAAATTAATAAATTTTCAAAATAAAAATTTAAATATTATTACAGTTTTATAGCAAATAAAATTTTATTTATTTATTTAAGTATCAACCGGCTTGCAAAAATAAAATTTTCAAATATTTCAATTTAAAAACGTTTTAAAATTTAATTATTAAAATTTAATTATTTCTGAGAAAGAATTTTATAAAAATTGTTAGAAAATTGTAACTAATTGAACCATTTAAAGGAATTATTTTAAAATTGTATTAAAAATAATTAAAATCTTGCGATCATTTTTATTATTTATGAAAATAATTGAATTCTTGAACCGAATTTTATTGAAATTTTTAAAAATAGTTGAATTCCTGATAAGTATTTAAAAAATTTTTGCAAATAATTGAATTCTAAAGAAGAATTTTATTGAAATTTGTTTAAATAATTGAATTTCAGTAAAAATTTTATTATTTGTCAAAATAATTTATTTCCAGCAAAGAATTTAATTAGTTATGAAAATAATTGAATTTTTGCAAAGAATTTTTTTTTTAAACTAGAAAATAATTGAATTATATAAATTCTATAAAAATTGTAAATAATTGAATTCCTTCAAAGAATTTTATTAATATTTAAAATAAAATTCTTGATAA